CTGGAAATCAGAACTGCTCTGTGAATGAGAATGGGGAGCAATTAAAAAATTGCAGGCTCATAGTAACAGAAGTACCTTGTTGTGAGGATAAAGGAATTACTTGAATAGGAGCAATGGTAAGAGCACCGCTCTCTCTTCAAAGTCAGGGTTTTTTGTTTGTTACATGTTGTCTTGCACTGTTGGTACCCTTGCAGTGTTTTGAGCTGCACCCTTGAAAATGTGTTCAAACATTAGAAAAATGGATAACAGGATCATCTAGAAAACCAAACAGAAGCTCTGAGGCTCTTCCACTGCAGAAATACCGACAGTGCTCAGTGTACTTTTTGTGTGAATTCCTGTCCCTGAGATTGGCAGATTAAAGTTGAAAGGGTATGTGCTCCTGGAAAACTAGGCTCTTGGCATCCATTAAAAGTGTTCAATGTGTATCCACTCCCTTTTTGCACAGCAGGGAAGGTGCCCTACAGATCTGTTATGTTACTGCCACTTCAGTTTTGAGCCACAGATTGTTTACACATGAGAAACTATCTCATATATTCTGGGGGTTTTAGAACTCATTAAACTTTCCATTTCACTAGAAGTGGTATGAGAGACTATAAAAAGGTACCATAGCAGATGAAGAATGGTCTTAGGTCAGTTAAAGTGAGCATTGAAATTTCTGTCTTTTTCAGGAAATGGTAGAGTATTCTGTTCTTTCTTCTCACAGACTGCAGTGAGCAGGCTGCTGAACCAGTAGGTTTCAAATGTGAACCCCAGTCCAAAATGTCATTAAGCTGAATGTACCTTCAGGGCTAAGGCCTTCAGAGTGCAGCCACAGACAGCTCCTGCAGCTCAGCTTCATTGCCTACAGGCAGGTGAACAACCAAAATCTCAGGCTGTCCATTATCCTCAGTGAGCAGATCAAAGAACAGTAAACACACAAGGCTGGAAGAAATTGTAAGAGATACAATGCAGATCTTACTGGTGGCAGCAGGTTCCCATCACAGAATATCTCCATCCTGTTTACCTGGTTCTTTTTGACTGTCCAGTGAAGGCAACTGACAGCTTCAGAGGGTTCCTAATTTAGTTGGATTAGCCTAAATCGCCTTTGCAAGTCTTTCAGACATGTTGAACAACTGCTAGCTTTATACTTTGTAGGATTATCTCCTGGGCTAAGGCATGTCTGTGTGTCAGACAACACTTAACAGCATGAGGTTGATGGCTCTGACAGAAGAGCTCTGGAGAACCTGTTAGAAACCACCTCTTCAGTGGAAGCTGAATATTCAATTGTTCACCTTGCTATTAGTGTGGGGTGTGACTTGCCTCCACCTAAGAGCCAGCACAGCAGAGAGGAATGTGGGCTTGCACTGGCTAAGCAGTGTTGTGTACCTGGGATCAGCCTGTTGGGTCTCAAATAAGGGGGTGGGTGAAGCTGTATGTGGAAACATTTCCTTTTTTGCTGCCTCTGCAGCAGCACTTTAGATCAGTGAGCTCCATGGCATTGATTTTGGATGATTTTGAATGTGGTGAAATACTCATAAACTCTCAGGTTTTTTTTTTTTTTTTTTTTTTTTTTTTTTTTTTTTTTTTTTTTTTTTTTTTTTTCTGGCTGCTCACACAAATAATTGCAAGGAAGTGAGCCTCAGGCTCTCTAACCCTAACCCCCTGAGCACACATTCAACCACCTGCCCCCCCGCAAAGAATTTAGGATATATGTGCTGCCCTTTTCCAGTAAATATGCTATATTATAACAGAAAACCAGGTCAGACCAGTTTGTTTTGGTTGGTTCTTTACAGGAGTAGATTTGCTGATGTCACCATTTGTCTTTCAGATATTTATAACTAATTCACAGTTTGTTTTGGGAGCCTCAGTTAGGCTGACAGGTCTCCAATTCACTGTGTGGTTATCATCCTCTTTCCTTTTTATGGTGGTTGGTGGTTCTGTGCTTTTAGGCAGTGCTTTAGGTCTTCCCTCATTTCCTCTGCATTCACAATGTCAGTGGTTTCATCTGTTAGTGTGTGGTTAGTTTCAGTCTATTGGTTGGGGTTTTTTAATGATAAAATCTTACTAAAATTTTTTTATCTGCTTAAGTTGACTTTCCTGCATGAATCCCTTCTTTAAACATATTTCTCTGGTCAGCACTGTAGTCAGTTGATGTCCCACCCTTGTTTTACCATAAAACAGGTTTTTTCTGTATTTTTATTCCACCTCTAGCACTTTTCTGCACTTTTTTGGCATCCTATGAAGCCTTACTGACCTGTGTGGAGTTGCTTAAATCTGTCTTTTTTCTTTGAGATTCACTGCCCTTAATCTGCTCTGCTCATTCCTTCTTTATATTTGAATAGTTGATGTTATAATTTCATCATCATCATTACTCAATCCATCTTCCATCTTCAGATTTCCAGTTTCTCCCTTTTAGCTAAACCAGCTCCATCTTCTGAAGTGAACTGTCCCCAGGGTGTTGGAAGACGTATCCAGTTATGCCAATGAATTTTTTGGATAAGCTAAACTATCATGATAGTGTGTGTGTGCCCATCTCTTGAGGCAGGTGTATACTGAAAGGTGGAAAACACTGGACATCTTTAATTTCCTATGGGATCTTACTGGAAAGCAGTTAGTGAAAGACTTTGGTAACCAGAGCTGTCAGTGTGACTCTCTGCAGGAATACCAACTTCACAGAAAACCTGAAGCATTAGCAAAGGCCACTGTAGTTACAGGAAAGGGGTAGATAGTTTTTTTTAGTATAGACTTTAAAGACAGCTCCTGATTTTATCATCCAGCAAGTATTCAGAAGTCAAAATGCCAACATGTCGCAGTGCTAATCTTGTTTTCTCTGAGTCAAGCAGTTGGCATGGTATTTTATTAGTCGTCTTTTCCAGAATATGTCCCCTGTTCACCACAGGCTGCATGAGTCAGGGCTGTGATTTGGAAACTCTTGATGTTTTTAAAGTGGAGTTAACTGAGTGTAACCGTAGCAGGAGTGTAAATTGGTGTCTGATTGGTGTTCCATGGCCATTTTAGCAACAAATCTGTTTCCCTTTTATTGTGACCACAGATAGTAGGGTGAGTCTGGAGTAAATAATTGTGGACCAAGCTGTAAAAAACTGGAAATTCTGCTTGCTGGAGGTGCTAGGGTTGTGTGCTTGTCTGTCATTTGCTCATCAGAAGCTTGAGAAAAGGGGTCCTGTTGGTACCATTCCTCCTTGTCTCTTGGTTTGGATGTGAACTGGAGGTCAGAGGGTGCTGAATGGGGTTTTGCTCAAGAGGGGAATATTACGTATCAGTTGTTACATGGTTGTGTTTTGCTGACCATTACTAACAGTGTCTGGATGAGTTGCAGCTTCCTAAAGAATGCTCAATCTTTGATGCATGGCTCTGCACCTGGGGGTGGCACCTTAGACAAATGTCATTTAGTGAGTCTAACCGGCTTACAGCTGATTTTCTTCTCAGACATATGGAATTAACCAAAGAGAAGAAGATCCATGCCTGGCCAGTATATTGTAAGAATTGACTTTTCATTTGCTGGTGTTGAGAGGAAGGAAGAAATAGTTGAGCTTGACTTCCCTTCTTCTCTTCTCCTGGTTACACCTCCACCTTCATCCTCAGTTATGACAGCAGTGTGCTGTAGAGACTTAAGTCTTTTTTTGGAAAGTTGTCCCATGCTTAAAAGAAGGAGGGAGGGATGGGGTCCTTGCTTTCTGCTCATGATTCAGCTGCTGCTTCCTGTTAACTTTGGCAAGACATTGAATCTGTTCTTCTCTACCTTTCTGTGAAAGTAAATATTTTTCTTCTCTAGCTTAGGTGAAGTCAGAGATGAGACTCCCACTGCTTTCAGTGACAACCCCTATGCTTATGGGTACAGGAGGACATAACAAAGTTCCCTAAAAGTACAAGGTGCTTTTATTCCTGCTGACATTTATCTTCTCCCTGTCTTTCCCTGTGAAGCAATGAGTATCTTAATTAGCTTCGTCCAGCTGTGAGTTTTGTTACCCACATGTTGGCAGAAGTTCGTTCTGCAGGTAAAGTTCATGTTGATTGAAGATGACAGGCTGGAAAATTATCCTCTTGTTGGTTGTTGACATGAAGCTGGGTAGGGAAGTCTGTACTTCTTCCTTCTTGGGCAATTCAATGCAATTTGTAAATGCCAACAAGTTTGCAGTTTATAGGTGCTTCTCCCTTGCCTAGTCATTCCCAGGATTTGCAAAGCAATAATTAGTACTTGTTTATGCCATTGTGATGCTATTATACCCATTGTAAAATATGTTTAGCAACTCAAGCACAAGGCAGTTGAGGAGATGCCCAGGCTCCTGCAGTAAAGCAGCTGTAGCACCAGAGAATTCTCTGTGATGGCTCAACAGCACTTCCCTGCTGCAGATTTTCTGTGGTACATGATACCATGTTACCTGATACTGAATTAATAGGTCCCATCAGTCTGGTCTGCAGCTTGTAACCACATCATTTGTTACTGTGCAGTGTAACTGTGGGATTCCTGTCAACAAGGACGCTTTTGGCAAATCAGGTTGTATTATCTGCATTGTTTGCTTGCTGACTCCTTGTACTTAGGGCTGTTGCTGTTAGCTTATTTTCTAATTTTTGAAGTCATCCCCAATGATACCTGAAAGGTCTTCTGCCTTCAGATCATCTTCTTTCTGAAAAGAAGGAAGGCATTTAGTTATTTCTATGAAACTCTGATTTTAGCAGACACCGTAGTGTAGCCTGTGCTTCAGAGGAATCAGCTTTTCCATGGATATTCACTTTATACAAAACCAGGCACTCTGGAGGCATGGGCTCTTTGGTAAGACATGGTCTGATGAAAATCAAGGGGTATGAGCTATAATGGCAAGAGAGGTTCTAGCCACTGGAAAAGAGCATTTGGTGTTACTTGGTGCATGTTACTAAAAGCAGAGAAGGAAGGTATTTTCTTATTAACATGTTGCAATTCATGAGTCTTTAATTCATATAATAAAAATAAAGCTTTTACCTTTAACAGCTGCCACTAACTGAGGGCTTTTGTTTTGTTTCAGATTGTGGAAACCTGAAATAAAATATCCTGTGACTGACAAGGTGACAACAACACCGCAAGGTGGGTCGTCTGTTTTTTTTGGTCTCATAGCAGTCATTTTAGGGTGAAAAATGCTGCATCTTGACTTTACTGGGATGGATTGCCTAATGAATCTCTGGGGCTTGTTCAAACAAACCGAAATAGTTTGACAGGACTCCTCCTATGCCTGCATGTACATGAGTTATGTATTGTAATGGTGTTTTAAACAAAGAAAATAGGTGCATTTTTTGTGCTCTGCGTGGTGAAGGTGTTTGAGGCACAGGTGTGGAAACAAACGAAAATTAAAACCCATTTGGGGTTTTTGCCAACTTTTTTGTATAGACATCTTTTCTGTAGGAAATGTCCTCTTGTCATTGTGAGTTGAGCTGCTGCTGTTCAGCACAAGCACTGCAAGTTGAATCTGTGACGTGGCATTTTTTTCTTTTCACACTTCAAATTTAGAGTTCACAGTTAGTAAAGAAACTTCCCTGCAACATCTGCTGATCACTTGTGTGTTAGTCACCACATGCTCACCTTGTCTGAGGAATCGTTGCTCTGTTTTGTTGAAGTGTTTTATTGAGGTTGTTTATAGGATATGCACATTTGCAACACAGCCCAGATGCAAAGAGATGCTGATCCCAGGATTTCCCACTTGCACCCCTGGTATTATCTGTTCAGAGGGGAGATTGTGTAATGGGTGCAGACAGCTTTTAGTTACTTGAATGACTCAAGTGAAAAACAGCACAGAGAGAGATAGTAAATACCATTTTCACTTTATCCATTGGTTATTGGAAGAAGAATTACTTGGTCATTCTTCCAAGAAGAGTTAAGTTTTCAAGCACCAGGTTTATCTGGTGACACTGCACAGTCATGGTGAAGTTGGATTTTGTTCTTGCTTTGGTTTTTACCTTTTTTGTAGGTGGTTCTTTTTTGTCTTCTTTATAGTGTGGAGAATGAAGTAAAAACTGGGACATGTGTTGCCTGTGTCTTTGTGCTGGGGGTGGTTTCTGGTGACAATATTGCTGCTCTTACTGCAGCCTCACATCTCTCTCTTGGAGGTCATAGTTTTTTCCTTTGTGTGAAGGCGTGAGTCTTTCTGGAGGGTGTGTCCACAGCCGGAAAGTGAGCAGCAGCATTTCAGTGCAGAGCAGCAATCTCTCTGCTGGTATTTCAGAGTGTGTTTCTTGTCACCAGCTCTGAAATACTGTGTTATAGCTGTGACAGGCTGCAGTGCAGATGTACCACTTGTATATCTCAAGATGTTTTAAAAAATTGCCACAGTCATGTAAGCCTTCTCTCTTGAAGTGGGAGAATCAGGAGAAATGTGAAAATTTATCAGCAAGGCTCCTGTTGTCATTGTTCTTGAGTAGAAACTGCCAGGGGTCCTGCTCATGTTATTAATCCTTATCCAGTGAGAAGTGGTCTCAGCTTTTGTTTCAGTGAGAACACGAGGTTTCTTTTATCTGCTCCTTGTCAGCCTCTGCATGTCACTGAACTCGATCACTGGGCAGAAAGTTAAATGGTCAGGAAGAGAGGGGTCTTTCAAAGCTGTAATAAGGTCAAATCCAAAAAAATAAATAGGAAGGAACTATTGAAGATCTGAGCTAGAAGTGTAGACCAAGCTGTTTGGTAGGTGCTCTTTGCAAAGAGCAACAGGGAAGTTGAAGAGAATTCATTTTGCATTTCACTGTGCTGGTCTGTGCTTCAGTAGTCTTTGTGGCAGGGTTTGAATGTGCTGTCTGTCTTACCAAAGATTTATCACAGTTGATGTGTGTAACCAGGAAAGTCAGAGCAGGCTGGTGAACTTCAGCTGAAAGGAGTGGGCAAACTCCTGTCTGCTCATAGAATTGAGCAGTAATCCAGTTCTTCCAGTGCCTAGAATATTGGTACTTTCAGCTGCATTTGAGCTGCTCACAGTTTATCAATAGAAGCTGTGTTCTTGCATAAATGGAGAGCAAAAGACCTTCTTGTAATTAAAGAATCACTTGTCTAAATCTCATTTTATTAAGCTGAACACACAGTACAGACTAGTGGAGTGGTCCTGCACCAAGGCTGTTTAAACACATCAAACTTTTTCAATTTTATTAGGTTTTGTTCTTCTCTTTCTTTGTTCTCCATGTGAATCTAGGACACATGCAGATCATGCTCAGTTCTCTTTTTTTGTCTTGCTAGTCTTATAACCCTCTCTTAGGTGTGTATACAACCTTTATAATGGCACAGTGAAGCTCTTCACCTGTTTATTGGTCTCAGTCTGTTGCATCACTTTCTGAACTGCCCCAAAGCACCTTCTTTGCTCATCATCCAGCAGTATATCTTGCACAAAGGAATGAAAACAATACTGTTTGTCTCAGGCTTGTCTCCACAAACTCGGGCATGTGTTGATCATAAATATTACTTAATTTTTCACACTTGAAGGGCAATAAACCCCAATCCTCAAAAGAAAATATTAAATGTAAGCAGAACTGTTGTTTTTTACTGAGAACCTGGGGGAAAAAAAATGCTACAAAAATCAGAATATTTCACAAGAACAGCCGAAGTGTACGTAATGGTACCAAAGCCTGTACTTATTAATGGTGAATTTGTCTGTGGTCTGAACATAAAACAGAAGAGAATTTTATTGAAAGTCTGCAGACCTGCATTGCCTAGCCTAACATTAGGCCCTTTTATGTCATTACTACTTGCAAGCAGCGTGCTTACCTTGCTCACCTCCTGCAGAGAGCAGAGACTGTATGAGCATCTCAGGAAGCTGGGAGGATCGTGTGGGATTGAGCCATTTTCTGGAGAACCTCTCTATTTCCATTGACTCTAGAAGAAACATACAGAATATGTAGAATGAAAGAAGTGAGTGAGCTGGTGTTCTTAGAAGACCTATAAACAGACAGAGCTAGCTGAACATTTACCTTCGTGTTGTTCTTAAAATATACAAGAACTGTTGTCACCACTTACACTGTGGAGTCTTTAATACTTCTGTCTTTAAATTGCTGCTGGTCTGGGCTGTTCCTCTTGTACAAGTGATCTGCTGTAGCCCAGCAAATAAAAAACTGCAATAAGGCACCTGATCTCTTGGAGAAATCGAAGTTTCATCCTACTAGAGTGTACTGGTTCTCTAGTTCCCAGTGTGAGATTATGCACCTCAAGTTGTTTTGCAGAGCTGCTCATCTATACACACCACCACCATTCTCTCCTGCTAGGAACAGAAAGTGTAAAGGGATGCAGCAGTTCAAATTGCTCCCACAGCAACTCTCAGGAACTCGGAGGTTCCTGAGAAAAGCAATGTCACATGTGGCCCAGAGGAGTGAGAACAGTCCACATGGTCAAACAGCAGGATGTTATCCTTGGGCCCTACTTCTTTCTTTGTGACAGGTTTTCTGTATGATATTCTCCTTGTATTAAAATTAAAAAAAAAAAGAGAAGAGAAAGCTAGACCTTCCTGTTGAAGGCATTGCTATTACATCCAACATCCTTTGGAGAGAATCTCTTTGAGAGAATCATGTGGGGCAGAAGCTATTTAGACTAAGCTTTCACTTATTTACATTGAAGTCATAAGAAAATTGATCTTGCCCCAAAAATACATGCCAGCATTCCAGTTGATTGGGAGTGCTCCTTGTCTTGTTGTTCCAAGTTCTCCTCTTGTAAGAAGGAGCCCTGCAGTGGGGTGTGGGGCAGAGGGAGAGTTTCTCCATGCAGAGTTCTCCTGTGGTGTTTGCCCCCAGCAGCGCTTTGCTGGGATGTGCAGCGTGCTGTCTTGCACTCTCAGTGGGCAATCCTGTTAGCCCTGGGCAGTGGGAGGGCTGTGGTCCAGCCACTATGCTGCTGAGTTAGAAAAACACATGTCCTAGTCTGCATCCAGCAGTTCAGGATGGAGGCCATCAAACTGTGACATCAACCAGCCCCAGCTTGTGGCCTTGCAGAGCTGTGTGATGCTCCCTGTGTTTGTAGGTGGAAAAGCAGGAAAGATGCTGGTGTGATGTCTTCTTCCCCAGAAGCTTGTGGTAGGATGGGGACCAGGGGAGGAAAAAAATGGGATGAATGTAGGTGTTGGCTGTAGAATTTCTGGAGACAAACCAGTTGGCACCCATATGACTCTGAAGCAGGTGTGCTTGTGGCATGAAGTTTAACAGACCAGATTTCTCATTGGCATGGCTCTACTCAAGTCATCACAAGTCTGTTGTTATTGCACGGCAGCAGAACTGGGTTGTGGTTTGGTTCTCTTTGAGGTGCGTGTGGGTTACATGTCCAAACTCCACTTGCTGAAATAATCCAAAGCCTGAGATTAGGAATGTACAGAAATAGGTGTTCTTTTAAGGACCACTTTTCATCTTCTCCCATTACGTATGACATATAAAGATGAAGTTTTCTGAGTAACACCAAATGCTTGGGTTACCATTCTACCAAACACCAGATGTGAATCCCAAAGGCTAGCAAGCTATTTATTGAGGGAGTATCTGAGCAAGCTGTTCTTATTGATGCCAGCAGTTCCTGAGTGCTAGTTAGTTAACCAAGTAAATGTTTGTGGGTTGTTTTTTAATGGCTAATTCCATTGCCAGCAGTGTCTTCAGAAAAAAAAAGAAAGAAAGAAAAAAAAGGTAGGAACAGGTGGTGCACAACTTTTCTTTTAAAAGGATACAGCATATTGTAGAACTGCAAGCATCTGCTTCTTCTTAATGCTTAGTCTTCAGTCACTCTGAGATGCCATTCATTTATGTGGAATAAATTGCTATACCAGCTAGGAGGTCCTTATAGTACTTTTTAACCTTATTTTATTCAGTGGGGCAAAACCATGTTCCTTACTTCCTCTTACATATCATACCAGGAGGCTGGAAGGCAATAGGATAAACAGTTTTGATTAGACCCTTCTACAGAGCAGAAAATAGGAGTTTTACTTTTGACTTCAATGCGAGTAGGAGCCAGACCTTTTTTGTGATGTGCAGCAATGATGTGTTCTGAGACAGTCATGAAGAAATGTTATGCCATTTAATTCTAACCTGAAAGGTTTAAATTAAGCAAGATAAGTCTCTTTGGAGATAGAAAATATCTTCTAT